TGGAGTGGCAGGTTCTGACGGCGCTGACCTCTCACCCCCACGTGAGTACAGTGGGTACGAGAATCTAACCAGAGGACATGCTCTCAGGTCTTTCCTACCTCTGGGTCTCATCCTGACTGCAATAAAACTGACCGCTGTGGAGAGGAAAGAAGTTGATGAGTAGTTCACAGGGCAACTCCGTCTTCAGGACAGGTTCCCATCCTATGGCAAAGTAACTGGCCACCCGGCTCCTCCCCAGGGCACAGCCTCCCTCTCGTTTTCTTTTCATTTAGAAAGATTTTTTGCCATAGGGTATGTGCACTCAGTGGGGAGAGAGAGAGGCAGAAAGCAAGATATCACCCCTGGCGAGGAATGGCCATGCCGCAATCCCTTCTCCTCCAGTCTCCTCTTGGGATCTTGGGCATGCACGCACCCGCACCGGCATGAGTTGCAAGTCATAGGGTCTGGGACTCGAACTGCGGTCGACTAAGTGGGAGTTCAGTGATGTAACCATTACAGCATCTGCTGGTCCCACCTTCTCCTATTTTCAACAGAGTCTACCACAGTCTCATACCTGACGACTTATTTTGGTATACACCATTTTTAGACAAAATAGTAGCTCTAGTTCTGGATGTTTTCTTTTTGTTTTAAAGAAATATTTCATTTAATTTTATTCATTGCTAATTTTTAAAAAAGATTTGACCAGAGAGAGACAGAGAGAGAAGAAAAGTAAGAAAGCAAGCCACCAGGTCCGAGACTCGAACTGCAGTTGGTCACGTGGGAGCCCAGTGCCCCAACCATGCCACCCACCAGCATTCTAGTTTTGATTTACTTTTTGATGATCCAAAAAGTCAAGTGTTCTTGATTTCACATTCCCAGATAGCCTGTGTATTTTCAATAATTTCCCTGTTTCAAAGATCTTAATAGTCCTTTAAAAACTGTGAAGGACATTACTGGTTCTGGGTTTCTCCTCTAAGTTGGGAAGTTCCAGACCAATATAAAAGCAGAAGGAGTGGGGTACTGACCCCATGTGTACATACTACTCGAGTCTGGACAGGCTCGTTCCGCTGGTGCCCGCCCACACCTGACAGTCATCACTCAGATTACTCTAAAGCCAACCCAGTTGTCACAGTGCTGTTTGTAAACATTTCAAAACACATGTGAAAAGACAAGGCTGCTGCGACACACTTGCAAAAACTAGGTATCCCCCAGTAAACTAAGTGTTAATGTCTTCATCCACACAACTAATGGGACCACCCTGTCTGTGGAGGAGGATGAAACACCAACCAGCTCACAGGCTGCAAAGTCTGTACAGCAGAGCTACACTTCACACAGGGTGCCAACTGAGGTGACAGAACCCGACTGGTGAGCAGCTGAGCGTCCAACCGGTGTGCTCACTGTCCCCCTCAGGACCTCTGTGGTAGCACTGTGCTCACCACTGCTCTGAGCACCCTAACGAGGACACCTGGTCACAACTACTAAGCCTGCTGCTGTTCTCCCAGCTGCCTACGCGAGTCACGCACGACTGGGAGGCACCCTGGACACGGCAGAGTGGAGGCTCGATCATACCACTCCTCCCCACCCGCCTCCCCCCCGCCGAGCTTGGCCCGTGAGCCTGCGTGGACATGGTGCCTAGCAAGGTGGAGGTCCGAGAGGCAGTGACAGCACGCCTCCTGAGTCGGATGACCGTGTGGTGCTCACTGGTACCCCGGGCCACGTAATGACAGCTCTGCCTCTGTACGGTTCTGTACTTACCATTCTCTGCTGCCTGTTTAATTCCAGGCTCATCCTCCTGTGCATCTGGGGAAAGCCCAATAATGTCAAACCTGGAAAACAAGTCCAAATCTTAAGAGAAGTATTTGCTTCTCAGGAATCTGTTCTTGGGAAGCATGTTTTACTAAGTTCATGGTAATGTGGATAAACCGGTCTAACGAGAGACACTCTGAAACATGAAACAAATGAAAATGTCCACAAAGACCAGTGGTAATGTGGATAAACCGGTCTAACAAGAGACTCTCTCTGAAGCATGAAACAAATGAAAATGTCCACAAAGACCAAACAACGAAGTTAAATATGTGTGTCCTTTTCTAACTAGATACAGAGTCTAATGTGAACATGTCACAGTGCTGGGTTGGCCAGTGGCGTGGTGGTGAAGGCAGCTGGATCCTGCACTACCAGCTGCGTGGTTTGAGTCCCGGAGCCGACAACTTGTAAACCGTGCTGAGTGAGTGAGCACAGATGCTCAAAACCCTGAAACGAAGATTGAGAAGGGACTGTGGGGTGGCCATCTGCCCTGGGGAGGGGAGTGATTTCTCACTTTTTCTCTCTCTCCCCCTCTCTGTCTCATTCCGGCAAATGCACACACCCAATAACAAAACTAAAACAAAACAAAACAAAAAGTCACAGTGCCGGGCCAGCTCCATGACCTGGCGATTAATGCAATCAGACCCCACATGGCTGAACACGTAGTTTGAGTCCCAGACTTGGTGGCTTAAAGCACACACTGGGTGCATGTGTGTGCATGCCCAGAACCCTGAAAGGAGAGACAGAGGAAAAGGGACTGCGATAAGATCAATCCTCTGGGGAGTGCTTCCTCCTCTCCTCTCTGGCAAGTGGATGTGCCCTCTAGCCAAAACAAACAAAGAAAAAGCCAAAGTCATGGTGTCTGGAACCAGACCTGTAGCCTAGTGACTAAGAGAACCAGATCTCACATGGCCAATCTTACAGTTCAAATCCCGGTCCCAGCAGCTGAAAAACAGGTGGGGTGTGTGCCCATACCCCAAATACTGACAAGACGGAAACGGAGCATGGCCATGCCCCACTAGAGGGTGCTTTGTCCTCCCCGTCTCTCTTTGGCAAGCACACGTACCCGGACAAAGCCACAGTGCCGTGTAATTGTAGGGTGGGAACAGCCTAAGAAATTACCTAGTCCAATTTTATACCCAAGCAGGAATCTCAACCCACAATCCTGAAAAGATGACAATGAACTCCAGCTATTCATTTCTTCTTCTACTGCATGTTAAAGAAATCCAATAAACTATTTTTATTTTTTATCATAATACCTTTACATGCAGTACCTCAAACTTCACGAACACACTATTTAGTAGGTCATCGGGAAAGTCATGACACATTTTTGCATAGAAATGACCCAATATTACGGATCTAGCCATATTCTTCCAATGTTTTTATCGTGCGGTGTCTACACCTCAAACCAGAAACTCGGGAAAGCCTTCCTTGGGCCCTTCCTTTGATCAGGTTATAAGTTCACGTTCTGGTCTCTGGCAACTCTGCTTCTGCGGTGAGGATTTTACCAGCTAGGGAGATGGAAGAACCAAAGGTCGAGATGGGTAAAGCCGCCAAGGAATCTAAAGTGGGTAAAAAATGAAGTGCGGAGATGGATTAGGGGTGGGCGGAAAAGCGGGAGACAGCAGGCAACAGCCTGGAGGTCCTGGGAAGGCCTAAACACAGACAGTGTGTAAATGGAAGCAAACTCAAGGGACAGGCAGTGGCTATGTGGAACGGACAGTTTTAACTCGGTGACTGCAGAGACGGGATCGTTCCGGATGACCAGGCCCACGGACTGACAGGACAGACAGTGGAGGACTGAAGCTAAGAGAAGGAAAACGGCCCTGGAAGTCAGGAGGTCAGGGCAGTAACAGGCCCGGCCAGACCGTAAGTCGGCCTTGCACTGCAGCCTGCCGTCACCCAGTGGCTAAACGGCAGGAGACGCTGGAGAGCAAAGGAAAGCACCCATCAGCTGTCAGAGTAAGAATCTGAAGACCTGTGGCAAGAGTCTAAGAAAGCAGAGCGGAGGAATTACAGCCTGGAAGTGGCACAGGGGGACCAACACTAACCCTGACCATAAAATACACGAGAACAAGATACCCTAAGAGGACTGAAAGGAAAGTGGTTTCCTGAAAACCACCACGGCTCCAGGGAGGAGAGAACTGGGAGGGTGCGGCCTGCATGCGTGTTTAACAGGTGCCCCAGGGGATCCTCCGAATGTGTGGGTACTGAAATCAAAAGCTTATCCAGCAACAGGAGATATTTCCCCACAATATTTCTGTTCACCCATTTTCATCTGTTTCTCTGTTAGTATAGTTTAAGTTTATCCCCAAATCTAAAGTAAAAAAGCTAAAACAAGGTTAAACTTAAAAGCTAATTATGGGGCCAGTAAGTGGCATGGTGGTAAAGGTGCTGGACTCCCACGTGGTCAACTATGGTTTGAGCCCTGGGCCCAGTGGCTTGAAAATGACGCCCGGTGCACGTGCACGTGTGTCCAAAATCCCGAGAAGAGAGTGAAGAAGGGACTGAGGTGTGGCTATTGATTTCTCACTTTCCACCTCCCCTCCAGTGAGTGCATCCACTCTATGGCAAAAACCTAAAAAATAAAATAAAATTCACAAAAAGCAAACAATAACAAAAGTAAAAAATAAAAGCCAATTATGTAACTTTATGATTTAAAAATTACTAAGTAAAAACTGCTATTCAGGGCCAGCAGGTAGCATGGTGGTTGAGGCGCTGCACTCCCACACAGCCCAAGCTGGCCTGAGTCCCGGACCTGGAAGTTTACTTCCTCACTCTCTCTCTCTCTCTCCACCTCTGTCTTGCTCTGATGAGCACATGTAATCTACAGCAAATTCAAAAAATGATAATAATGATAAACAAAATTAAATAACCAATTCTCTAAAAAAACTGCTGTACATGGAGCCAGCAGGGTGGTTATGGCCCTCGACTCCCACATGGCTGACTGAGGTTCGAATCCTGGACCTGGCAGCTTGCTTTCTCACTTTTTGTCTCTCCCTCTCACACATATGCTCTGGTTAGTGCATATACCCTGTAGGAAATAAATAATAATAGTTGTTTTAAAAAATTGTACACAACAGCACTTTTTGAAAAGTTCATTTCTTTTTTGTAAATGAGAGACACAGAAAAAGACACCGTAAGAGACGGCACCCCCAACAGGACCCCAATGCCACAACCCATGCCTGTCTTTAGCCAGTCGCGGGTCTCAGGCATGTGTCTCCAGGTGCAGACCTGGAACATCCCACGTGAGTCGGCCTCACAGAGCGTCACATCCTACCACGGTCCGAGCCACGAAAGCACTTGTGATAAAGGCTCAGTACTAGGTAGCAGACAGCGGTGCTGGGTAAGACGCAACGCTCCGCAAGGCCATCCCAAGATCCTCGTTTATGTCCGCCCCGAGTATGTTGGGGCTCAACTTTAAAAAAAGGAAGAAAAGGGCTAAGTAAAATAAATAGACACTTCTCACCAGACAAGTCAATTCTTACTTACCAAGAAGGCATAGCCATGTTCATATTTAACGTAACAGGCATTACAGGCCTATACAGGGAAGAAAAGACAGCAAAATGAGAGCAAAGAATAAAAACTGACAAATCCCATCAACAAAACCCAGAGAGTTACTTAGGTTGGTTCTGCATCTTGGCTGATATGAATACTACTGCCATAAACATGGGATGCACACTATCTCGTTAGGATCTTGCTTTCCTTTTCTTTGGATATACGAGGGGGTTCTTCAAAGGGTTCATGGAAAATCTATGCATGAATTTCAAAATTTTTTGCATAAAATAAGCGTACTTTGGGGCCAGCAGATGGCATAGCAGTTACATCGCTGAGCTCCCACATGGTCGACCATGGTTCAAGTCCCGGACCTGGTTGCTTGAAAATCCCACAGGCACGGGTGCGTCATGCCCAAGATCCCGGGAGAGAATGGAGAAGAAGGGACTGTAGCATGGCCATTCCCCCCCGGGGGGGGGTGATTTCTCACTTTCTGTCTCTGTCTCTTTGTTGAATGCACGTGCCCTATGGAAAAAAATCTCTCTCTGAAAAAGAAAATTTACTATTGGGTCACTGGAAAAGTTATGATGCATTTTTGCAAAGAAAAAGAAGGCATAGCCTTCTTTTCTACATAGAAAAATGCATCATGGGGGCTGGCAGGTGGTGTGGTGGTTAAAGGGACTGTACTTCCACATGGCCTACTATGGTTCGAGTCCCAGACCTGCAGGCTTGCTTTCTCTCTGGGTCCTTCTCTGGTCAAATTAAAATAAGTAAAGTTAAATAAAATAATTATCTAAAAGAAAAGAAAAATGCATCATGACTTTTCTGAGGGACCAATAGTTTCTTTTTGACATCCACAGACATTTTTAGAGCTAGAATTCAAAACCAAATGTATAGATTTTAAATCTTATGTTCTTCCCAGAGGGTGTCACATCACCTCTAGTCGATCAAATTTAAGAGCATGGTCAACATAACAAAAATTTCTCTCAAATCTGACAGGTAAAATCCTCTTCAGGGATACCCCGGGGATACCCTTAGGACTTTATAGGTATTTGAATATCTAAAAGAATTTTTTGGCTTTAAGTTCAACTGACCCCCAGGAATTAAGCAATATTTTAAATTTCTTCCCAAAAATGGGGGGAAAAAAAAGCAATTTAGCCAAGAAAACCATTTTAGTTTTAGGAAATTTTATAGTCTTCTACTTGGTTTGAAATCATGCATGTTTGAAAGTTTCACTGAGGAAGCTTTCGATCAGTGCATTCACTTTGATTCTGTAAGGAGCAGAGAACCTAGTATATTGAGGTGTTTTGTTTTGAGGACTAATGTTCAAAGTGGATTTTTTTTTTTTTGAGAGGTTTTCATTATAGGGCGCATGCACTCGCCAGACAGATAGAGACAGAAAGCGAGAAATCACTCCCCAGGGGGGATGGTCACGCCCCAATACCTTCTCCTCCATTCTCCTCTCGGGATCTTGGGCACGCACGCATACGCACCCGGCGTGAGTTTTAAGCCACCGGATCCGGGACGCAAACTGTGGTCGACTACGTGGGAGTCCAGCGACATAGCCATTATGCTAACTGCTGGTTCCCCAAAGTGGATTTTATTCTTGAACAGTATGCCAGTAGATTGGGTAAGATTTGTTGGCTTATGGTCTGGTTTTCTTTTTCTAATAGATTTAAGAATTCTAATGTTGAAAATCTACACAGATTTCTGTGAAGCAAAGCCTAGACAAATGAAAACTACACATCGAATAGTAACCTAAATTAACCCTCTACGATAGCGGAGAGAAGGCTTTGGTGCTATAATTTCTCCCTCTGTTGGTGTTGGACTTTAATCAGTTAAAATGTATTTTGTCCCATAATGTAAGCTTCAATAGAAGTTTGCTTAATATAAAAAAACAAATGTTTTTACTAGTCTTTATTGTTAAATTGAATATTTAAAAGATAAAAAAAGAATTCTGGAGCTGGCAGATGGCATGGTGGTTAAAGGTGCTGGATTCCCATATGGCCGACCATGGTTCAAGTCCCAGACCTGGTAACTTGCTTGCTTTCTCTATCTCCCCCTCTCTGGTCAAATTGAAATAAACAAATGAATAAATAAATGAGTAAAGTTAAATGAAAAAAAAAATTAACAAATTCTATTCAAATACTTTTCTAGAAAAATAAAGCTATCAGAGTTGCTTTTCTCCAAAACCTGAATCATGAGCTTGAAGAGCAGAAATACTCACGCATGAGGGCAGATATATTTGATATGTGAACTTCTGATACCTGCAAAGGCTTCTGCCCATCCGTGCCTGGTGGAAAAATGATTTGAATGCTATTAGATATGGTGTTAAATCTCAATAAATCGGTAGCAGAAAGGCTATTACTAATTTTGTTAGAGTAATTGTTAATTCCTTAAAATACCTTGAACGTGTGGACCATCAGTGCTATGAACACAATGCCGAACCAGTCGGGTGGCATGGTGGGTATGCCAATCACCCGGCTGACTACATGGCCGAGTCCTGGACCCAGTGGCTTGAGAAACGCACCAGGTGCATGTGCGTGAATGCCCAAAATACCCAGAGGAAAATGAGAGGGAACTGCAGGGTGGTATCCGCCCTGGGGGTGCTTTCTCACTTTCCCTCTGTCTGTCTCTGGAGAGCATATGTACCCTAAAACAAACCATGGACACAGAACAACACAAAGCTGTTATTTAAGCTTTACCTGAACAAAGATAAAGGTGGCCTCTCCTGATTTCTGAGCAGCAATGTGCATTCCTTCATATATTTCTATAGGACTCTACAATTTAAAAAATACAGGTATTTTTCATATCTTTGTAACTTTACAAGAATATGCCTATAGAGGAGGCAAGGCAGGTTATATCACTTACATTTTATATGAAGAAGAAGCCTCAGAGGAATAAGGTAAATCAATTGTCTAACATGTCTACATTCTTATTACACTATTTTTTGGTTTTGTTTTTTTTTTTCTAGAGGTTTTTGCCATAGGGCGCATGCACTCGCCAGACAGACAGAGAGAGTCAGAGAGACAGAAAGCGAGAAATCACCCCCCGGGGGGATGGCCATGCCGCAATCCCTTCTCCTCCATTCTCCTCTCAGGATCTTGGGCACGCACGCACACGTGCCCGGAGTGAGTTTTAAGCCACCGGGTCTGGGACACGAACCGCGGTCGACTACATGGGAATCCAGCCACATAGCCATTACGCTAACTGCTGGTCCCTTATTACACTATTAAAAGCAACTGTAATATTCTGCCTCATGTGTCTTATATACATATCTTTTTATGTCCAAAACAGAACACAGGAAAACAATGCCTCTCCTTTCTTATTTTGGTTTTTGTTGTAGGGCATGTGTGCTCACCAGAGAGAGCATTTGAGGAAACACCTGTCAGTGGGAATGGCCACACAACCCCTTCTCCTCTTAGGGTTTTGGGCATTCACGCACGCATACACATCTGGTGCGTATTTCAAGCTGTTGGGTCAAGGACTCAATCGATGGAGTCGGCCATGTGGGATTCAGCACCTTAACCTCTATACCACCTGCTGGCCCCACAGGAAACATTTTTTAATGGAAATCATCATAATCCTTCTAGCCAATCTTTAACCAAAGTTCTTTTTTTTTTTTAAATGCCAAACTGTACGTGTGGGCAGACAAGAGAGAGCCATAGAAGGCCCCAGTGGGGACTAGTTATGCTGCAATCCTTTCCCCTCCATTCTCCAACCCATCAGGATTCAGGGCATGTGTGCACATGGGTCTGGCATGCTTTTCAAGCCACTGGGCTGGGGACTCAAACCCTGGTTGGTCATGTGGGATTCAGATTCCTCTACACAGCATTTAATGACTGACTGTGCTACAGAGCTGGCCCAACCATCAATCTTGATGGATTTCTTTCTGATAATGTTCAGTGCATGCTAATTAAACAGAAACAGATTTGACAAAATGCACTATGCTATACATGTACTGTATTAAACATAGTTTCCTCCGTAACATCTGACATTATGCCCAATACATTTTACACATTATCTCTACTAAAGGACAAAGTAGAAGTGACTTAATTCTTAGCCTAGAAATGAACGTTAGCTTTCTGTTCCTTATTTTTTTGTTTTAACCTACTTCCCTCCAAAGTATTTAAGATATGCAAAAAGATCAATCACTGTAATGGCACCAACCCGTGTGTGACACTATGAGCCAAGCCACCCCAGTTCTGTATGTGTTCACACGTGTATGTGTGTTGTGCATACCTGTGTTAGACACCTTACTCTGAAAACTACAAAACATGCTGCAGGAACTCAAATTAGATCCCTATAAAGAGAAAGACACCCAAAGTTCGTGGCCTGGACAGCTTACTATTTTTTAAATTGCAGTACTCCCCAAATTGATTTAGTCAAAACAGAATCTTTATAAGAATCCCTGCTGACTTTGTGAGAGAGCCAGAAAAACCAAAACAATTTTTAAAAAGAACAAAGTTGGAGGACTCACACTTCCCAATTTCAAAACTTATTACAAAATAATAAAGACTGTAGTACTCGAATAAGAATAAACATAAAATCTACTGAAAACCCACAAGTAACACCTCTCCATTTACTTCAAATTATTTTTGAAAAGGGTACCAAAACAAATCAATTTAGAAGGAACAGTCTTATCGACAAGCGTAGCTGGGGCAAGTGGATATCCACGTGCAACAGAAGGGAGTGGAATGCCACCTCAAACCATATATAAAAATTAACTCAAAATGTACCAAAGCCCTAAATGTAATAGATAAAATTATAAAATTCCTAGCAGAAAATGTATGCAAATATTTGTGATCTTGGACTTGCCAATGGATTCTTTTTTAAGTTGCCAGAGCCAGGATATGAACCTGTCAGCCATGTGGGATCTGGGTCCCTAAGTACATGGCTTAACTACTGTACCACGTGGCCAGCCCCTAGTGGTTTCTTAGATATAATGCCAACAGCACAATCTACAGAGAAGAAATAGACAAATTGGAAATCATCGAAATTGAATCCTGGACCAGCTCAGTGGCCTGGTAGTTAAAGGAGCCAGATCCCATATGGCTGACTGTGCGGTTGGAATCTGGTCCTGGGAACTTGAAAAACACACTGGGTGCATGCGTGTGTGTCCAAAACCCTGACAGGATGGAGAAATGGAGGAGGACGAAACTGCAGCATGACCACACCCCACTGCAGAGTGCTTTCTTCTGCTACCTCTCTGGCTTTCGTCTCTGGTGAATGCACGGGCACTCTGGTAAATTAAAAAAAATACATAATAAACACTGTGCTGCTTCAAAGGACAGTATGAAGAAAGTTAAAAGACAAGCTACAGAAAAGGGAAAATAACTCTTAATCTAATAAGGGTTTCGTATCTATACTATACAAAGAACTCTCATAACTTGAAAGAAGAAAGATGATCCAACTGAAAAAAGGGCAAAGAACTTGAAGAGACATTTCTCTTTATTTCTTTTTCGACAGGTTTTTGCTATAAGGCGTATGCGCTCGCCAGAAAGACAGAGAGAGACAGAAAGCGAGAAATCACCCCCCCCAGGGGGGATGGCCACGCCGCAATCCCTTCTCCTCCATTCTCCTCTCGGGATCTTGGACACGCATGCACACGCGCCCGGTGTGAGTTTAAGCCACCGGGTCCAGGACGCGAACAGTGGTGGACTACATGGGAGTCCAGCGACATAACCATTACGCTAACTGCTGGTCCCTTGAAGAGACATTTCTCTAAAGAAGATATACAAATGGCCAGGCCAGCATGGTGGTTAGGGCAGCTACATCCCACATGGCTGACTGCATGATTTGAGTTCTGGACCTGGTGGCCTGAAAACTATGTGTGCATGCCCCACATCCTGAAAGGACAATGGAGGCAAAGGGACTGTGGTATGGCCATCTCCCGGGGGGCTCTTCCTTTCTCTCTCCTCTCTGTGTCTCTGGAGAGTACATGTACTCTACGGCAAAAACTTTAAAAAGTTTTTTTTAAAGAGATGTACAAACAGCCAACAAGCACAAGGTGCTCAATGTCACTATTTTGCTTTAAGGAACTATTTCATTTAATTTCACTTCTTCTTATTTTAAAATTTTGACTAGAGAAAGACAGAGAACGAGAGGAGGGGAGAAAGAAAGCTGCTAGGTCCAGGACTTGAACCACGGTCAGCCATGTGAAAGGCAAGTGCCCTAAGTACCACGACACCTGCCGGCCCCGATATCATTAGTTTTTAAAGAAATACAAATCAAAACTGCAATGAGGTATTACTTCACACCCAACAAGAATAATTTTTCCAGCAACTTGAAATTACAGTTGGCAAGGATGTGAAGAGAGCAGCCCTGCTCGACATGCTGGAAGGAATGTCAAACGGCCAGTGACTGTGGAAGTCTCGCAGCTCCTCACCCCTAAACCCAGAATTACGTAGGACCAGGAGCCCCACCTCCAGGCATGTGCAAGAGAACTGAAAACAGGTCCGCAAACACAGCCAGGTACAAGAACGTTCACAGCAGCGCTATCCACAAGAGCGAAATGGTGGAAATACTCCCGATTTCTGTCAGTCGCAGGTGGCTAATATTATGCAGACAATGGAACAGTATGTCACCATAGAAGGAACTAAAATACTGATACCAAGCTCCCCCGCCAAGAAACCTCGAAAGTACCTTGCTAAGTGAAAAAAAGCAGGTTAGAGGTTATCAAAGGTGAGGGAGAGAGCACTGAGGAATGGCTGCCTCATAGGTTTGGGACGTTTCTGTGTGCTGATCAAGGTGTTGGGAAGCAGAGGGCAGTGAGGGTTGCACAACACTGCGAATGTATTGAACGCCACTGAGTGCAAACTGGCTAGTTTTACGTAAGGTGTATTTCACTTTAAAAAAAAAAAAAGAGAGACAACCCAATAAGAAATAGTCAAAGGACTTAAACAGACATTTCTCCAAAATAGACAAATGCAAATCAAAACCACTATGAGATATCACCTCATAACCACAGGGTTGGCCATATTTGAAAACACAGTAACAAGTGTGAAAGGGGGTGAGGAGAATCAGAGCCCTCGCATACTAAATGGTGCTGCTGCCTTGGAAAACAATCTCAACCTTGGTTCGAGTCCCGGACCCTGTGGCTTAAACTCCTGTCAGGCCTGTGTGTGTGCGTGCCCTAGATCCTGAGAGGAGAATGGAGAAGGGATTGCAGTGTGGCCATCCCCCCTGGGGGGTGATTTCTTGCTTTCTATCTCTGTTTTTCTTGGCAAGAGCATGCACCCTATAGCGAAACACACACACACCACACACACACACACACAAACACACACCAAAAAACCTCTCCAAAAAAAAGAGCAAAAATGGGGCTAGCAGGTGACGTGTGAGGTTTGAGTCTTGGGTCCAGTGGCTTGAAAATCACGCTGGGTACATGTGCATGGTGCACAAAATCTGGAGAAGAGAATGGAGAAGGGATTGTGGCATGGCCAGACCCCCTGGTGGATGTTCTCTCTCTCTCTCTTGTAAATGTATGAGCACTATAGAAAAATTTTTAAAAGTCCACAGAATATGCATATAAAAAACTATGCTTGGGATCAGCAGTTAGCGTAATGGCTATGTCGTTGAACTCCCATGTAGTTGACCGCAGTTCAAATCCTGGACCCGGTGGCTTAAACTCATGCCAGGCGTGTGTGCATGCGTGCCCAAGATCCTAAGAGGAGAATGGAGGAGAAGGGATTGCAGTGTGGCCATCCCCCCGAGGGATGATTTCTCACTTTCTCTCTCTCTCTGTCTCTCTGGCAAGCACATGTGCCCTGTAGCAAAA